TATAAACGGAATTTGATATTGTGACAGCCCAGTGACATATTTTTGATCCGTCCCATTTTGGTTACAATCAGACATAAATAACGGACACCTCACACGGGACATGAGCCTTAATGCGCACGCTCAGGGCGCAACCCGTCTGTTAATCCAACGGAATGAAAAAACTTTATGTATTGCATCCTGTTGTGTGTCATTCAGAATTATATATATACACGCATACACACGTCTTCAGTTTAAGCGATGTTTCCAGGAATGATTCTGTCGCGTAAACCGAGAAATGATTAGTATGGTGAAAGTTAATAGACAGTTCGGAGGGACATATTGCCTACATCTTCAGGGTCGAATAAGTGAAGCAAAAAAGTGGCATGAAGCAGGCAGCAATAAAGGTGAAGTAGAGCTTAGTTAGCTCTGGGAACCTGAAGAGAGTAAGTATATTCCTCCAACACGTCAGTTGAATTTCGCCAGACTACATGGAGTAATATCACAGAGGGCGGGGGTTCTCATTACCAACGCTGCGAGCATCACAGATCTGATTATATTATGATTCAAGCTCACAACAAACAGCAAACTGGCACAATAGAGCTACATAAGTTTCGAATATGGTACTTCATACCAGTACCAAAAAATAAATGTGGCCCGTGTGGGGATCGAACCCACGACCTTCGCGTTATTAGCACGACGCTCTAACCGACTGAGCTAACAGGCCGGATACAGCCAAGGGGACCTCCCTCTCGCGCACAGAGTAGAGTGCATCATGTTTTGTGTATAAAAGTATTGGCCCGTGTGGGGATCGAACACACGACCTTCGCATTATTTATATATATATATAAAGTAAAGGTATCCCTGTAATAGGCCGTGGACGCCCATGGGGTTGTGAGATGTTGAGGTTCCCAGATTTTATAGACAATCGGCTCACAGATGGCGGCAAGTTTGTCGGCCTTACGCGCCGGCCGCCGTTTACCCCCAAGAATATTCCTGGTACTCATTTCTGTTAGGCCCCCCATACACACACAGTTTGGCCTGCCGATCGACCTGCAGGTAGAACTGACGGACTGACGGGTTTCCTACAGTCCAAACGATTGGCCGGCCGCACCACACACATCAGTTTCGCCTTTCAGCCTTGAACTGTGCAGGCCGAACGGGAGGCCAAACTGTGTGTGTATGGGGGGCCTTAGAGGCTGAGTCAGCCCCAAGGCCATACTGCGGCCGGAAGGATTAGGTCAACTGAAGAAAAATCCAATGACCTCAACGAGACTTGAACCCGCGACCTTCTGGCTTGTAGCATAGTGCCTCAACCAACTACGCTACAGTGTGCCCCCATAAATATATATATATATATAAGCTCAGCACCTAAGCACAAAGCGATACACCTGATAATGCAAACAAGCAATGTTAGTATTTTTACGTGAATTGTCGTATGTATAGGTCTACTCATTTTGGAACAGAAGCTGTAGGGAAAAACTAATCAAGCTTTTTATGTCAGTACAAGTCTCGCCCAAGACAATTAAAACAAACTGGAACAAACGCAATGATTTTTACTTCCTACCCCGTTATTAACTTGCACAGAGTTAGATAAACAGACCATCAGTAACAATACGATGAAAAATGTATATTTCAGTGGAACCCAAGCTCTTTCGGATAGTAGTTCTCTGCTATTCTGCCTACCTCAGCGGCCGTTATGTGAGTGTCACGGCTACAGCTGCACTGTCTCACAGCTAAGAGCACTACCTTCGGAATGTACGGAGTGAGAGAGAATTCTTCTTTTTTCCAATTACACTTTTTATATATCGAAAAAGATGCTTAAATGTACACTGTAAAGGTCATACAGCTCCGCTTTTCTGCATTATTTGTATTTTTTACGGTTAACCCTTAATGAGAAAAACAAATGGAGTTCGATCTGCGATCGGGTAAATCAATGCTGATATCAAAATTTGCCAGTGGCTGTTTACTGGAGAACTCTAGTCCAAGCTCTGATTGGCATCCATGGAGTAGTGCCGGAGGTGAAACAATATGTGCCGATAGACGCATGGACACATCCACTTCACGCATCAAAACTAACGCTCTGTAACGATGACCACACAAAAAGTAACATTTATGTACTTATTTCTATATTTAGGGACTACCTCAGAACTTGTACTCTCATGGTAACAAGAAACGTCCACCTTGTAGACAGAATCACCTCATCGCAATGCCTTCGCCCGCTCGAACACTGGGGGCATGAGTTGGAATCCCACTGGAAGCATGGATATTTGTGTTCGTTTGTGTTGTTCTGTGTATAGGTAGAGGCCTCAAGACGGGCTGATCCTCCGCCCAAGGAGTCATACCGACTGTCTATAGGATTAAAAAACTTAAAAACGGTTAAGGCCCGACAAAGGGCTGTAGAGCCATACATAGATAAATAGGATAAACTTTGAGGTTATGTTGATACATATTCAACCACTGGAATTATTCATTACTGGACACCGTGTAAAAACATAGCTCAAAAATTCGTTACGTAGGCCGGTAGGCCTGTCTGTCTTGCACGTTACGTCAAGGCTTTGCATTTACGTTTCCATTTTGTTGTGCATTTAATCGAAGATTATGACGTATCTTATTCACGCAAGGAATCAGCGCGTAACCTAGCTATATGTCGCTGAAACATAGAGCTTTTAATTGTGCTCTCAGCACACAAGGAACCGTATTTTCAGAGGGTTCTGTTCGGTTCGCTTCATTCCTGGCAGCTGCTTTACACTAAGCCCAAACAAATGAACAGATCTCAAAGACTGCAATAGAGAAAAGCCCTAGCATAAATCAGAGCCCGGTTTTATGGTACGCAGTTTCAAAGTGAAGAAACCGATGAAGTACAGCGCACGGCAGGTCAGACAGGGACAAGCGACACGTCACTTGGCCTGCGAGACAAACTCTGTGCTCCCCAAAATGCGCATTAATGCTCAGCTTCAATTTAAAAAGAAAGGTGTTGATGTTGGGGAACAAACTTTGAGAACAGCGTTTACTAAACAGCCCATGCAATTTTAATTCATTTCACTCATCACCTACTAAATAATTTAGAAAAGTACGGACTCATTATGACAAACGAGCTCAAACAAATTACTGATTCAGTTCACCAAAACGTCAGTCTAGTATCAGTTAGTTTCACAGTCTCACGTGCAATACTAAACCTATCCACTTTATAGTTTTACACTACATGTCATGACAAACGTGGACATCGTCAGGTGTTAAAAATTATTGATGAGGAAATTGCTGTCTTCTGTATCGTTGCTGAGGTTGTCAATATTGGCACGTATTCTGGGTTGGCGTGACTAACAATAATGGGTTCTGGATTTGATGACTGGATTTATTGCCACTTCTTTACAATTACACTCGATTATAACAGCTCACACATTGAACTACTTCTGAACGACGTCTGTTTGACGAATCTTTCACTAATCTCGGACTGATTTCTTGAATTCATGAATGAACTTCCTTTTATAACTGCCACGAGGCCCGCATATAAGTCCCCATGTCCAGCAGTTAATTGTCCTCTGTTATTCTGCCTGTTGTCACGGGAATGTCTCTGTTAATATTCGTTGCGGCGGAAACAGGCGCTAGCGAGTCGTTTCCTAGCAAATCGAATTCCGCTTCTGCTGCTATTCCGGGTTTAGGCAGTGTTTACCGAGCCGTTGCCTAGCAACAGTATGTAGTCCCCTCAGTGATCATGCGTATCTGTAATATGTATGCATTCTTCTATCAGAATTCATGTATGCGAAGTCTGTCGTATAATTACTTATTTGCGTACTTACTCGGGTTGTGTGTCGTTGCGTGTCTTGTTTTCAAGTGCTTGATGAGTTGGACTGTTTCTTCCTTTCATGTGTTTATGTCGCTATCTGGTGTTTAATTCCTACATTACCTCGAATATAGTGTTATAGTCGACGTATGTACCTTACATTTCATACACACATGGTATTTTTCTAATGTCTTAAGACAATTTCCTTTTTCTGTACTTTTATAACTTTCATAGTATCTGTTATACTCCCATATGCGTGTCCTGTATTTAACATTTCAATAGCGTTTAATAAGCTTTATAAGTCGAACATTAGTGTTGCAAGTAAGAATACGAAACTGATACTAAGCGAAAAATGCAGGAGGATGCTACAATATACTACTAAAACTTCAGCGGCTGACCTAGCAAAGTCATTCCTCGATTTACGCGATTTCAGACCATACGTCACTTCATATTTACGCCATTCTAGTTCTCACTTTAATGCAATTACGCAATCACAAACAAGAACATGGCGCAATTGCGTTCTCTTGAAGGCAACAAAGGCGTACGGAGCTGCTCGCAGCGAAGCCATCATTCCCGAATTAAAACAACCCTTTAAAGAAACCGAACTAAGCGCAATACATATCCATCACTCCCTTGGTTGGCCCCACTCATGCACGCAACCTGCGCCTTGTATTATTCCTTATGTAAAATTAGCGCTCGATTTACACGTCTTCAATTTAAGCGATGTTTCCAGGAATGATTCTGTCGCGTTAACCGAGAAATGACTAGCACGTTGAAAGTTAACAGACAGTTCGGAGGAACATTTTTCCTACATTTTCAGGGTCGAATAAGTGAAGCAAGAAAGTGGCATGAAGCAGGCAGCAATAAAGGCGAAGCAGAGCTTAGTTAACTCTGCGACCATGCCTCCAAAATATCAGTTGAATTTCGCCAGACTACATGGAGTAATATTACAGAGGACGGGGGTTTTCGTTACCAACGCTGCGAGCATCACAGATCTGATTATATTATGATTGAAGCTCACAACAAACAGCAAACTGGCACAATAGAGCTACATAAGTTTCGAATATGGTACTTCATACCAGTACCAAAAATAAATGTGGCCCGTGTGGGGATCGAACCCACGACCTTCGCGTTATTAGCACGACGCTCTAACCGACTGAGCTAACAGGCCGAGTACAGCCAATGGGTTCTCCCTCTCGCACACAGAGTGGAGTGCATCATGTTTTGTGTATAAAAGTATTGGCCCGTGTGGGGATCGAACGCATGACCTTCGCATTATTAGCACGACGCTCTAACCGACTGAGCTAACAGGCCGACTACAATCAGTGGAGCGAACACAGGTCGCGCGTTTGACTTACTATTCGACCGCGAAGATGAAGGTTGTATATTCCTTCGAAACGTAGGTGAAGTACCGGACTGCACGACTACATCCCAGTAGTATTTTTAAGGAATCCCAGGCGTTACTACAAATTTAACGTTACAGTCGGCAAAGAGAATTTTCCAAGACGGTTTGCAAAGCCGGCAGAGCATGTGATGAACGATTTCATTAACGAAAGTCCGTCCGTAACGAGTTGTTTATGGCTCAGCGTTTCATAATCTGGGCGGGTGTGGCGAGATGGTGTAGTTAGCTGCCTATGTCTCTAGGGAGATAGTGGAAAAATGAAACAAGGAACGTAGACGCTTCAGAGCACATGCACTATCTCATCTACCACTAAAAAAGTCCCTAACAGCAGTAACTGGAGGTTGTCCGAAATGGGGACGCATGGACCTGTCGTAGTTCAGGCGGTCAGTCGCCGGCTTACCACCGCGGCGGCCAGGGTTTGATCGCAGGTCAGGTCATGTGGGATTTGTGGTGGATAAAGTGGCACTGGGGCAGGTTACCTCCCAGTACTTCGGTTTCTCCTCACAATTATCATTCCACCGGCTGCTCTATACTCATCTACACCATCCAGGGCTGGTACAATAGACCAAATAATGGCCGACGTGCCAAGTGGACTCAGTCTCACCCCACCTCTAAAAAAACTAAAGAAGGCCGCAGAGTGTATCTTGTGATGTAGGAACTGAGTGAATATTATTTAAAAGAACTTGAAGCTTCGGATCTTGGAGATTAACAAACAAATTCTCGAAAAGTTGATAATTAGCCGGTCAAATCAGTTCCCTTCAGGAACGCGGAAGTTCAGTACATACCAAGATTATAAATTGCCGTCAGTATACCAAAATCTGATCCAGATGAATCTACTCAACACTGTTCATCATAGATCTGATATCCTCCCATCTACTCTCAGGTCTTCTCCGAGGCTTCTTCCCACGTTTTGTATATTCATTCCCCACGTTTCAAAATTTCATTTCTCCATTTAGCTGCGGAGTACAAATTATGAAGCCCGCATTATGTCATTTTCTCCAGTCTCCCATGACTTAGTCCCCCCGGCGTCCTGCTCCTCGAGCAGTCCCCAATGGATCAGACTGTAGGTCTCCACGGAGGTGAAGTTTTGACGCCGCGTAGTCTGGTAGGCGGGTACTAACATTACATAGAAACCTACTGCCTCCATTTCCAGTTTATCTGAAGATACAGGCAGTATATGTTTTCGAAATGTTAGCACCCTGAAGATGGAGGTAGTGTATTCCTCCGAAACGTCGGTACCCTGAAGATTGAGGCAGTATTTTTTATAAACGATGCTATCCTACAGATGGAGGCAGTACCTTCTTCCGAAACGCTGGTGCCCTGAAGATGTGGGCAGTATGTTTCTTCGAAACGATATCGTACAGGTGGAGACAATGAGTTCTTCCGAAACGCTGGCACACTGAAGATGGAGAGTGTACTCCTCCGAAACATTGGTAACCTAAGGATGAAGGTAACATTTTCCTCTGAAAAATAACTTGAAGACAGAAGCAGTACGTTCTTCCGAAACGTTGGCACCTTGAAGATGATGGCGGTGCATACCTTCGAAACGATGGTACCTAACACGTTTCTCCTATAAGGCTACACGATGTCTGAAACCCAGAAGGCCACAGTACGAGTCATGATGTGTTGGCTTACTTTTCTTGGCGCGAGGGACCGAGGTCGGATGAATCGTGAGCCGTTTATTTTGCCTGAACACCACTCACTCCACATGTAGCGGAGAGACCCGCGCTGATCTGTGCCCCGGGAGGAGGAGGGCATAACAACGGAAACAGCGCTGTGTTGGGCCGCTGCTTCAGCATGACGAATTCCAGAACTCTTCCTAACGGGCCCAACAGAGTATGTGCCTCCCACTCCCTCACCTGAGGATGGAAACAGATCCAGTTCCCAAAACGGTGTGTTCTTTAGAATGCCGAACGATGGACAAGTAAAAAAAAAATCCAGCACAAAGTGTGTTGGGTGACACGAGGCCCATTCATATTTGAAGAGGGCACAATATCGTGTTACAGCGCTCTGCATGGGGTACATGGGGAGGCCGACATGACTAGAAAACGCAACTGCACTGACGTCATACACAGAACCCCTCATATTGAATTCGACCAGAATCTGATTAACGATGTATGATGCAGGCCTCATGAAAATGTTCATTTACGTAATGCATGGATCAATATTGCTGAAAATCAGAACTGTCTCACAAGTTTGACTGGAAGTCTCCACACCCGAATAAAAAGTATTCTATCCAGTTGTTCACAGCACAACACCAGTCGACAGATGGACGGAGCTATCCTCGTATATCTTGAAGACACAATGCTTAGGTTCTCACAGAGGTAGTTATGAAGGGTTCTGTTGGGATACAAAACCATATAGTCCGTTGAATGTCAATCGATGTTTCGGAGGAATATGTCGCCTTCATCTTCAGGGTGGAAGAATAAGTCAGAGTGACAGCAGGTGTTAAGCAGGGCTCTGCTTGCCATCTGCGTCCGAAACGTCGGTTGACTTCCAACGGACTGCACGGAGTTATATTCTAGAAGATAGAATTCTTCACTACAAATTCAGTTCCTACTGCATAGAAAACATGTTGTGTCCACATTACAAAGCCTACCCGGTTACGGCCGTTTAGGAAAATAATTGTTCTTTATTGTGAGAATCATTTTAAATACATACTGTCAAGAAGTATGCGTGACTATAGACGGGGTTTGCACATAATTGATTTATTGACGACTTACACACACGACTCGGAACTACAAGCAATGACAGGGCTATCGCTGATATATACACTTTATAAATCACTACAGCACACGCTAAGCCTCTGTCTAGCCTGGTGCGTCTTTGGCAGTCGTTCCCCAGTAACGGCTTCTAAGAGTGGAGATTTTTCAGCTTCACGATCTTAGGTTCTATCTTCACAACCTCCCGTACAATAGTTTTGAACTGAACTGACTATCACCTGACAACTGGCTTGGTCGCCCAAAATGTCTCCAAGTTAACTCCTCGGCATGGACCACGTACAAAACACCGTTCATTCTCGTATGCTAACCGTTTCCGTTGCAATGTATTCGTGTCACCCAGCAACAGGCTGCGTAACACTGTTTATTTAGAAGCCGCTTTCCCAGCAACGGGCGTCGTTTCTTGACCGTTACACAGCAACGGCTACAAAACTGTCACGTGTATGGGGATACGCGTGACGAAAATAAGGGGTTCTAGTTCGGATGATTGGATTTATTGGCACCTCGGTTGGAATTTCTCTTAATTACAATCAATACAGCACTATCGCTGTTACACACGAACTAGGATACTCAGCTTCCACTAGTCGTCTCCTAGCAATGGATCTGAACACAGAAATTAGCACTTCAAATCAATACGAACCCTTCTTGCCATTTCTTGGTCAATCACCCTGGAACCTCGAACTCGACTAAAATCTCTTCTGGACTCTTAATTGCACTGCACTGCACTGCACTATGCACTAATCTAAGTCACAGTCAGAGTCAAGAGTCGGAGTTAATTTACGACTGGCGGCTTATCGCCAATCAGTTCGTCTTGGCGCCAAGCCCCTTGAGACTCACGACAAGATTTTTTTTTGGCAACTGAACACTTGCGGTTATAGTCCTTATGTAACATCCTCTCTGACGAGAGGATGGATCCGTCGTCTAAAACTGATGTTGGTCTTGCCAGCGCAGTCATTTTCAGGTCCGAGACCAGCGGGACTCATGAGCACATTTTACTGTGTCAAATTCGAGATTCCCCCAACCTGGAGGGCCACGTCCCCGTATTCATGTCTCCCCGGAACAGGATGGCCCAGTTATACCAAAGGCACTGGGTTCCATTTCATCGCCTCTCTCTACTCGCAGGGCTACGGTGGAAATATTCGGCTGCCTCCACACGGAAACTAATCTAAGCTACAATAGGTCTTTGTTATATAGGGTGCGCACGGACAACACAGAAAACACAAGTCACGTGCTTCATTGACGCTCTGACTGTTGCCTAGCAAACGAGCTATAACATTCGTCCACTGAGACACATCTTCCATTGTTGCACGTTGGAATGTGCTTACCGAGCCGTAGTCTAGAGACGCTTTAAGCAAATCCGTTACAAAACATAACTTGAAGAAAATGAGCGGTCCTTTTAATGTTAAAGCAGGTGGTACATATTCCGTTGTGCTTTAAAGTTTTAATAGTCTCCAAACATTTCACTATAACTAGCCTACCGCTGTATGTGAATTTCAAGTGGAGTGACTGCGCACGCGCGATACAAATACTCGTACACGGTCGATTGGGTAGTATCCGGCTTCGTGTTTTGGGGGTTCGTGGTTCAAACCTCGCCTGAAGAATGGCCATTCTGAGTGAGGGTTGTAGTGGCTCTCGTGAGCTACTACAGGGAGATTCCGGGAAAGCACTTTAAACCAGGCCTTGACCACTTCTTATTACATTCTTTACAAAGCATTGTTTAGTAATGACTATATTGAATGTTACAGGCTGATAAACAGACGTACAGGCTGCATATGTAGTTATGCAACTTGAGCAGCCCGCACAAACTGTGAATGCAGGTTGCGGGCCATTGAGGAATCCTACAGATGGGTTCCATTCGCGCTCTTACGTGTTCATTGCTTATCTAATGACGCTATCAGTAGCTCCAGCTATACAGCGTCAAATGATTCGATCATTAAAAGAATAAAGAATCGGAAATGACATGGAAGAAAGTGGTCGTGACCTATTCTCCAGTTGCCTGCAGGAACCAGACGAAACCAGGCAAAAGCAGGGTAGCATCTCAAATTGTTTCTGCCACTCATTCCGTTGCCTCTTGAATAAAATGCAGCGTGTAGAACCGTCAATACGCTCTATGCAAATATACCGGAGCCGCTTCTATGCAACGTTCCCGCGGCAGCGAATACGCATGCAATAATAGAAGTGCTGTTAGAAAC